CTCTTGTAGGTGGGCTTTGGGGAACCCTCCCCCAGCAGGGCCCCCCAGCTGCAGATGACCTTCTCTGGGTCCCCATCCGTGAGCAGAACTGTTCCAACAATGGGTCGAAGGTCCTCCAGCTTCTCCCAGTTTGTAAGTTAGCCTGTCCGTCCACCTGGGTCAGTGGCCTTGCCCTGTTTCCAGCTCCAGGAAGATGCATGATGGGCGACCATGGCGGCTAGGACTTGAGGCGACACAGGAATCAGGAGGGTGATTACAGGGGCCCCAAATCTGCCTGGGAAATGCTTTTTTCCAGTTTTCAGAGACTCTAGGGAGGAAGAAGGAAGAGGCCTTCTCTCTGACAGAGTGCCAAGTGGCAATGACTCACTCAGGGGGCCTCAGCAGTTCAGAGAAGGAAGACCAGAGGCCAGCCAGGGAAGGCTTCCTAGAGGAGATAGTCCTGGAGCTGGAACTTCAAGGAAAGGGGGCTGTGAGACTTGTGAAGATGTGGAGATGAGTGCATTCTGGGCAGAGGGGATGCAGGCACCCATGGCACATCCCCAGGCCTCGAGGGCCCCAGGCTGTCTGGAGTAGAGGGGTCGGAGGGGATGGGTCTGTGAGGGTGCGTCATCTGGCTGAGGACTGCCTAGGAGTTGGCCTCTGGTGGGGGGCGGGGTGTTGGGATGAACCCCAGTGAGCTATAGAGAGGGGTGCTGGGTAAAATGATGGTAACAACTAGAGCTATGCCAGGCACGGCGCTGAGTGGCTTCCTAATATTTAATCTTCTCAACAGCCCTTGGGGGAAGTACTGTTATCCCCGTTCTACAAACAAACCATTGAGGCCAAGGTAAGTGACAGCAAGTGAGGGCCGACCGTGGATTCCAACACAGGACAGCCTGGCTCCAACGCTCTATTTTAAAAACAAGTTTATTTATTAATATAAGAGAGAGAGACACACAGAGATTTGTGGTTCCACTTACTTATGCATTCATTGGATGATTCTTGTACGTGCTCTGAGTGGGGATGGAGCCCACGACCTTGGCCTGTTGGGACGACCCTCCAACCTACCACAAAGCTCTAATCGCTAAACGGAGGGCGGTGGGTGGGGGTGAGCAGAGGCCCCGCTCATGAGTGGATGCGTGCAGCTGTGCTCTGTGTGCGTGCAGGGGTATCCCTGCCATTTCCCCCCCACCTCCCTCTCCCAGCCCCGCTACAGGTGGGTGTGAATGAAGGACCTTGGAATGTCAAGAATCCCCATGCCTGTTGGAGCAAATAACCCCAGACAAGAGTCTGGTCACCAGGCCGATCCCAGAGCCAACTTCCCACTGGAATCAACACTCTGCCCCTCCCTGCCCCCCAGGATGGCGCATCTCCAAGGGCCCAGGAATGGTGTTTGGACTTGACCCTGGTAGGCCTTGCAGTGCTGGTGCCACCTCTTTCTCAGCTTCTGATGCACGTGCACAGCTGGGCCATGGGGAAGGTGACGGGCAGGAGCCTCCCCGGGTGGTCCCGGCTCAGCCCCGTCGCTGGTGATGGGGGCAGGCCCCTGCGCCTGCCCCCTGCTCCCTGGGCCTCAGTTTCTTCATTTCTGTGAGGAGGTGGATTGAATTATTTAAGGAACCCTCAACTAAGACAAAAGGAGGCCCACCCAGGAGAATAATACAAACCAACAAAGCGGGCTGGGCGGGTGTGTGTGGAGGGGCGGCCACAGAGAACTGGGCAGCAACCCCCAGGCCAGGCGACCTTGGCCATCCGTCCCCACCTCGCTTGGTGGGGGCCTTTCTGGACCTGTGCTGTGGAGGCACCAGGACCCTGAGTCTCAGTTTCTCTAACTAGAAAGTGGGAATTGTTATGTCTACCTCCTACCCCACGGGAGTGGTGAGAATGAATTAAAATGATTGATGGAAATCTTGTAGAGAAATCCCACCCCCTTTTAAAATTAATATAATTTTTTGCTTTGAGTGCTGTTAAAAGTATTTCACTCCAGGTGACCCAGGGAAAGAGAACTGAAAAATGAGGAGGGCAGAGGGCAGAGGCGGGGCTGAGGCGAGGCCTGGGGTGAGGGCGAGGTCAGAACAGCGGCCCCCTGAGCAGCAGCTCAGACGCTTGGGAAAGTCCGTCCAGCCCTGGGCCTGGGCACCTGCTTCCCCGTCGGGGCTGAACTTGGCCCAGCCCTGTGTTGCCCTCAGAGGACTTTAAGCTGATTTCTGTCACAGCATTTAGAGACCACACATGCTTCTGAGTGTTTTTCTTCACTGGGTTGTAATTGGTGCATCACAATGAACACCGTAAAAAAGGGAAATTAAGCAATTTACATTTGTTTACAAAAGCCATTATCTCCTTGGTGTGAGGATTCTAAAGATCTTTCACTCCCCCTGCCCTGTTCTCTAGGTCAAGTTGAACCCTCCAGAGACTTGGAAAAATGTGGCCAGATGGTCCAAAAAAATGTTTAGCACAGCTTGGCTCGTTTGCAAGCTGAGAGGGTATCTCCCACAGTTCAGCCTAACCTCCATATCTTCATCTTTAAAACCAGGTGAGTCCTGGTTGGTGTGGCTCAGTGGATTGAACGCTGTCCTGTGAACTGAAAAGTCACCGGTTCGATTCCCAGTTAGGGCACATGCCTGGGTTTTGGGCCAGGTCCCTGGTTGGGGGCGTGTGAAAGGCAACTAATCCGTGTTTCTTTCACACATGGATGTTTCTCTCCCTCTCTTTCTCCCTCCCTTCCCCCTCTCTAAAAATAAATAAATAAATTCTTTTTAAAAAATGTGGTGAAATTCTCCACTGTGTCTACCTCTCAGGACTGCTGCAGGACCCCCAGGAACTGGTTTACAGAATGGGAAAATGCTTTATAAAAAAAAAAAACAACATAAGACAGGAAAAGTGCTGCAGGTGAAAGGGACTGTGCTAGAGGACTCTCTGGCCCAGTGGCAGCTCCTGGGAGTAAGGGATGGTCTGGGGAAGGCATGGCCTGCATCCTTAGATTCTGCCTGAGACAGGAAACCTGGCCCCAGAGAGGGACCACTTTGGAAAGCAGCTGCAAGTGCTCCTGGAACAGCAGCAGCATTAGTGACAATGGACATCAAAAAAGGGAAGGGTGGGAACAGAGCCCCATGGAAATACGGGGCGGGGCATAGACCCAGGCGGTCTTGCATCGTGTGAGGACACCTGGGCACTGGGAAGCAGAGGAACACAAACAGTGACAAGAACTTAGTCTTTTAGTTGGATGGATCTGGATTTGAGACTATCCCTACCACTCCTTCCTGGGTGACCTGGGGGAAGTTGCTTCACCTTTCTGAGCTTCATGCTCTCTGAATTGCTGAGTGACAAGTGGAAAGTGTGTGGCATGCAGCAGAGTAAGTGACCAATTACTATTCATTGCTTCCGTCCCCCACCTCAGTCAGTCTTAGGCTGGTTTCCAGAACATTTTATATTCATTGTTTCTCAGAAGCATGAATTATCATCCCATTTCACGGATTTTCTCCTTTATCGGATGTCAAGTTCTGCCAGAAGCAAACAGCCCTGGCCTTGGAAGGATTTGCTATGCGAAGGGGCGGGGCGGGGGGGGCCAGGGCCGGGCAGGGAGGAAACTGTTACACTTTGTGGTCAGTGCTATAATTACGGTGGCCATGTTATCCAACCACAAATCAAGTCACGTGGCCTGACAGAGGCTATTTTTCTACCTCCACTGAAGACCAGCATGAAATCATGTTGAGTTACACATTCATTGGATCACCTTTCACTTTTTTTAAGAAGCAAATGACATGAAATTTGGACTGTCCTTGACAAATCCCACTATAGTCCCAGAAAATCGCTCATGACTGGAGTCCATACAGCAGGAGCAGGAAGACTTCCTGGAGGAAGTGCAGCTTCAGCGGGCCCTTGAAGGCTGACCAGGTCTCTAGGCAGAGAAAGAGTGGGTGGCCTGAACGCCCTTGGGAGAGGACCTTCCCTTCTTGCTCTCAGGAACCCCAGGATGCTGGCTGAAATAGGCAGCTGTGTCTGGTTTCCGTTATGTTTCACTTTCATTGCTCCCAAGACCTCCTGGGAAACAAAATTGTACAGGCCTTCTAACCACACTGGTTGCATGGTTGCATCGTATTGTACCTTCTGATTCATTTACATGGCTCTCTCTGCTGCAGACGATACATTCCTGAGGACAGGGGCCTTGATCACGTCTTGTTCATCTCTGTGTCCCTCTGCTTTCCGCCAGCCCCAGGGTGGCGTGAGGGAGAGATGTAAGAGAGGAACTAATCCACGTCACAGGAATAAACAAATGATGTACCACTGGTGGGTATTTCGTAGGGACACGGTGTCCTCTGTGTTATGATAACTATGAACTTCAGTGTTGTCTGCTTAGGCAGTCAGTACGCGTGGGTTGCTGCCTTGTGCCAGGTGCTGTGAGAAACACGCCCCCCACCCCTGCAGCAGAGGGTATATTCTAGAGAGAGACAGGCAGCTGACACGTAACTACAGAGGTGATAAAGAGGCAGGCATGACCTGTAGACCAGGAAGCATGGTCTGGATTAGGGGTATAAGGAAAGCAGCAGGAGGAAATGAAATTTAACATGATACCCAAAGGGTCACAATTAACCACTTAGTTTATAAGTGGCAAAGCCAGCATTCAAACCCAGACTTATCGCGTGCTTATCATGTGATGGACACCATGCTGAGGACTTTACATATTCAGCTCATGTAATTCTCACAACATCCCTGGGAAACACATACTGTTACTATTACTACGCCTGTTTGGAGGTGAGGAAACTGAGCACAGAAAGGTGGAAAACCGGCCCAAGGTCACACGGCTCGGAAGGGGTGAAGCCAGCGTTCAAACCCAGGCAGCCTGGCTTGAGTCCACACTCCACGAGGAGCTAAGGAACGGTGCAGCAGGGCGGACCAATTTGGACAAGAGAGCAGATGAGGGACAACAAGGCAGGGACCTCACCTCCGAGCAATAGGGAGCTGTTGGTGGCTTTAAGTAGGAACTGGGCGCAAGGAGATTGCATCGGAATGACAAAGCAGGAGGCAGGGAATGTGTTTAAGAGGCTGTTAAGACGAGTCACGACATTCACACAAGGCAGAGAGAAGATGGCGGCTTGCACTGGGGTGGCTGGGACGGAGCACTGAGGGTGGGTTAGGGAGAAAGCTGGAGGCAGGACTGGTGGGACTGGCTCGTGGATGGGCGGTTTGGGGACAAGGGGCTGGTGTTGGATTTCTGAATTGGACTCACGGGAAGGGTGGACGATGAGTCCAGCCTTTGACTTGTGGAGCTGGAGAAAGGTGTCTTGGGGACAGCCAAGGGGAGTGTCCAGCAGGCAGTGGGGAGGCCATTTAGGGCTGAGGAGGGGTTTGGGCAGGGGTGGTTGTCAGCACAAAGAAGGCCCCCAGAGCTCTGGGAGATGTGGGTGGGTCCTGAGGGAAAGGAGGAGCAGGAGAGTCTGCACAGAGTCTCCCAGGGTGTGGTGAGAAATGCAAGTCCTCAGCTTCCCTTCGACCCACGGAGGAGGCCTTTCCCTGGGTGGGGCCTTGGCCTTGCCTCCTCCCAGGCGTTCTGGGGGACAGTGAGCTGGAGGGCCTCGGGTCCAGCTTGGTGAACAGCAGCTCTGAAGACCTGAAAAAAACAGGAAGAGTCATGAGTGATGGGGGTCGTGCCAGCCCACAGACGCTCCCCAAAGCAGTGAGTCTGCAGCTCCCTCGGCAAGATGCAGCCTCTCACTCAGCGTGGGGGACCCTCCTTCCCCGCCACCTTCCCACAGTGTGGCTCTCATCACGTCCTTCACCTGCTACCAGCCTTCTTGCTCCGTCGGGCCCTCAGGTAATGTGCAGTCTGCGGAGCCCCTCACACAAGGCCACTTGTCATCTGCTCCTAACCCTTCTCTCCAGTTTTCTTGATCATCCTTTCTGCCTTCTCCGCTCTTCTCCCCATGGCCCCTGCCCACTGCCCATGCAACACTCAATGTTTCTGGAGTGCTTTCCACATGGCCTTTGCTCAGGTTGTCCCTTGTGCTGAGAATGTCCATCCCCTACTCCAATCGCCCCACCCATTCCTCTTGATCCAGGTTAGAGGCCACCTCCCCCCAAAGCTCCCTCATTCTGCTTCCCTCTTGCTGTGGACCACAGCACTTGCCCTGGGTGTCCCCAGCCCACCTTCAGCTCCGATAGCTTTTGGACACAGGGAGGGACAAGCAGAGCACCTCCAAACCCACGTCCCTTTATGCCCTGCATCTCCTGACCAGGAGCACAGTGCCTGCCTGGCACAGAGAAGATGCTCACAGTGCCTCCTGGGAATGGAAATGGTCTTCCACACCAGAGATTTGCATGAGTAAGATTCTAGGGACTCCTTGAGCCTGTGTAAGAGCCAGACCACGCTCAAGGACCTGAGGTCACAGACCACAGGAACATGCATTATCAGGGGGAATTTGCCGGTGGGTGCTGATGTCCCTGGGCATCTCGGTGGGGTGATGGGAGTACGTACTAGGAAGTCACAAACCTATCTTGGAACACGGCCTGCAGTTCAGGCTTGTGGCCGCCACCATTAGGTTTGGTTCTGTCTGATTATGCTCCACCCAGAGCTGTCACAGGAACACGTCTGGGAGTCAGAAGCCTGGTTCCATTCCCCGGCCTCTTTCCTCCCCGGAGACATTAGTCTGGCTGAAAAGCCTTTCCTTTCACCAGAGGGAGGTTGCATTTGAGGGGAGCCAGGATGAGTCTATCCTGCTTTCACGGTCGGACAACGTGGCTTCTCTTTTCTCTTCCCTTTGCTCTGTTCTGTTCATATGTTTTTGAGCTTTGCTCCTAGAGTTAGATCATCTTGAGCCGCTGAAGGTCTTTAACACCAATGCACTGTTTTCCAAATTTGCCCAGCCTCATCTTGGATCCATCTGGAAGCAGTATTTCTGGGGGAGGGGCCCGATAATCTGCATATTAGCAAGCTCCTTTAGGCTCACTAATTAAGTTCCTCCCTCCCCCCATTTCTAGGCTGCTTCAACGACAGCAAAAAGCCCCCTCCTGGAGCAGTCAGCTCTGCAGGCAGCCTGAGGCTCTCACTGTGTTCGAGGCTCCCAGAAATCTTTGTCTCCTTGCTCTGGGCCTCCTGGTCCCCATCTGTTTGAGGAGGATGGGCACTGTGATGTTGCCCTTGCAGGGTTGTGGAGGTGGTTGAAATGACACTGTGGGTGGGAAACTGAGGCTCAGTGGCAGAAGAGATTTGCACAAGGTCACCTGCCTGCTATGTGCTGGGCTCTGGGGACTCATCTGCGAACAACTTGTTGGGAGAGATGACATTTTAGTATACAATGAAACCAGTAAATGAACCAGATAATAAAGATAAAGGAAATAAAGGAGTTTTCTAGAGTCGAGGCAAAGGTGGGGAGGGGGAGCCTGGAAGGCCTGCCCAGGAGGGTCACGCCAGCAGAGGCCTGGATGGCGGGGAGCCCGGAGGGTTGTCCTAAACCCAATGGTGGCAGAGCCGGGAGGCCCCCCCACCCCCCGGGCCTGGCCGGGGATCTCCCAGGGCCTTGGGAGGCGCGGTGGGCGCGGGTCTTTGTTTCCGTGGTTCTCTCCGAAGCCTCTCTGACCCCCAAGCACTGTTCCCTCTTTGACCCTGAATAACTTGTTGGTTTCCCCCGGGCTTTGTTTCTTCGGGGTCACCACCTCCGGGACGCCCGGCAGCCGCTCCCGGCCCTCTTGGGTCCTGTATCTGACACCCCCTCCCGCCCCCGCCCCCGCCCCCGCCCCCTACCCGCTCCGAGGCAGGGGTCAAAGGCAGCCTGTGTCACGTGGTCGCCGAGCAGCACCGAATCGGCCGGGAGAGCCGAGGGAGAATCCGGGTGGAAGCTGAGAAATCCAGCCCCTGATAGCAGCGTGGGGTCCCGCCCCGGCCCCCGCCCCGGGGCTTTTGCCGCACGCCCGCCAGCAGCCCGGGCCTCCGGAGCCGATCTCCGGCCGGCACCCACGCCCCATCACGGGATCGAGCCGTGCTCCCACGGCCGCAATCCGAGGAGGTAGGCGCCGGGGCCGGAGCGGGTAAAGGGACATGGGTTAGGGGGGTCCCCCCGAGCGCGGGCTCGCGGGTCTGCGCTCTGCGGGCCCATGGGGGGCGAGGGAGCTCGCCTCAACTTCCAGGCTGAAGGGAGACCCCCACCTCGCCGCCGCGGGAGGAGGGGAAGGCTGCAGGCTGCCCCTGCGCTGCCGGGGGCCGGGACTGGGGGCTGGGCATCGGGAGGGTGGGGTGGGGGAGGAGAGCGAGCCGGGGGCGGGGCGGACGGCGGCGGTGGCGGTAGTGGTGGTGGCGGCGGCAGCCGCGCGGGGCGGGGGTGGGAGCGGCAGGAGGCGGCCTCGAAGGGGTTAACCTCCGCCCGGGCCAGAGCCTAGCGGCGCTAGCACGGCTCGGGGACCCAGGCGTCCTGCGGCTCGCCCAGAGCGCCCCCTTCCCCGGGTAGCGCCCCAGCTGTGGCAGGTAAGAAGCCGAGAGGGCCGGGACCAGCCGGTCCCCTGTCGCTGAACCGGCGGGGCCAAGCCCGGCGTGCAGGCCGCGCGGGGCCCAAGCGGCCGCCGGCGCAAGTTTGGTGCGGGCGGGCGCCGGGCGGGCCCAGCGCTCGGGGTGGGAGGACAAAGGGGTGGGGGACCGCGTGGGGGCCGGGGGCAGGCCGGGTTGCGCGCGAGGGTAGCGCGGCAGCTGTAGGTCACGGATAATGTCACTCACGAGGAATGCCCCCTCCCCCTTCCCTACTCCTAGACAGGGGAAACTTTTGTCTAGCGAGGGAGGGGGTTAGAGGCCGGGTCCCCGCTCCGGGAAGGGTAAGGCAGCAAGACCGGTTTTCTCCGAGCTGTGAGCGGCCTGGTCTATAGCTCCTCTCTTCCCTTAGGTTCTCGGGAGCAACGAGTCCCCGCTTTGAACGCTGCTCTTAAACGCCCTGGGACCGGGTGAGGAGGGGGCACCAGTGGACGCGTGGGCTCTGGGACAGGCGGGGAACCTGGGGACTGACTTCCTGGCTCTTTCCCAGATTAGAGCATCTGGGTCAGCTAGGAGCTATGCCAGGGGGTGAAGAACCCTAACCCCAGTCACACCCAGTGCTATTACCACCCCCCACACCTCCCCCGAAAAAAGCATTCAAAATGGCCAGGGAAGTACTGGCCCCTGGTCTGAGGGTCAGACTGACCTGGGTGTCTGTTACTTCCCGGCTGTTGTGACCTTGGTGCCTTACCTTCTCCTAGCCTCAATTTCCTCGCCTGTGAAATGGGCTGAATAGAGCATCTGCCAGAATAAGGATGAAGTGAGCACCTCTGGGACCTCAGTCAGCAATGGCATGCTTATATTCAACAAGTATTGAATGTCTGTTTCCCATGGGCCAGGCACCGGGCTAATTGTATGTGTCTTTATTTCATTCTTTGATGTTACTTACTATTAACCACATTTTACAGAGGGGAAACCGAGGCACAGAACGGCAAAGGTCCACAGGTGGGAAGTGGTGGGGCTTGGTTTCCACTCCCCTCCCCCAGCCTGAGTCTCAGCTGACAGGGCTCCAGAAGGTCCTGCTGTGACCGGGCTCAGAGTTTCATTTCAGTTGAAATTATGAGGACACCTGCCCCCTCTTCCCACCACCCTCACCCCCAAGTGATGCTCCTTCTGGCTGGTGCTGCCATGGGTGAGGTCTTGTGCCCTGGCTCTTGTTGTGGGCAGCTGGAGCAGGAGGGGAAGTCAGTTGGAGCCCGGGCCTGCAGCTCCGTGGTGGTCCAATTTCTGTCGCTGGCTGAATCCTTGGCAGGAACGCTCTCCCAGTTCGGGTGGTACAGGGAGGAGCCCGTCTCCCTGGCTTTTGGCTGGGGACAGCTGGTGGCTTTGTCAGCAGACCTCTCTCCAGCACCCAGGGGAGAGCACTGCCTTTCATCTCCATTGAACTGAGTCACTTTCAGATCAGCAGGGGGCAGAGGTAGGGCTCAGAATCGAAGCCCTTGGGGTGATGAGAGATCTAAGGCCATGGGATTGATAGCTTAGGGTCCTCTTGTGTGACTCATCATCAGCGTCCTCAGTGCTAAGCTTATGGGCTGCTCTAGGTGCCCAAGCCCCAGAGGTCCTTGAGGACAGTTAGGGGGAGGGGAATTTGAGCCAGCGTCAGGATCGCAGAATCGTAACGGAAAATGCATGTGTGCATGGGTGTCGCAGCCCAGGGGGCACTGTGGGTGCTCATGAAATACCCTGTGAGTGACCCAGTGGGCTAGCCCAGACTCCCACTGGCTTCAGTCCCCGTGCTGGGGGCACCGTCTCATGACTGCTGGTCGGGCTTTCATTGGGGGCTTTGAGTGATTTCTTAAAAAATGGAAAGCAAATTGTTAGTTCATAAATGACATCTTAAAACAACGGAGTGCGGTAGGTCATGAAGGCAGTTCTTGGGAGGTGAAGCTGGTGCACTGCTGTTGAAACTGCTCCGAGGGCTGCCCCTGCACGACACCTTGGCCTCCCAGGGTCCGTAGGCTCTTCCTTGGCCCTGGGAATAGGGGCCCTTCCGGGTGCACAGTTCACTTTCAGCTTGTGGGGAACCCGTGGAAATTCCACTACCAGCTGGACTCTGAGGGGACTCAGAAGTGCAGGGAAACGAGTGCAGGGGCCCGAAGGCCGAAAGGAGTCCTGAGCAGTGGGGGTGACTGTTGGCGCGTGGTCAGACTTGCTTCGTCGTGCTCAGGGCTCTGGCCTCTTGGAGAATCGACAGGTGAAGGGAGGTGGTCGGCAAAGCGAGAAAAGACGGAAAGCTAGGCTCCTGTGAACAAGGGGGCACGCGAGGAACAGTTTTGCAATTGCAAGTTGTGCATGTGGTCACACATATAAAATAATAGGCTGGGGTTTTCCTAGGGGCCAGCTAGCACACTCTGTGTCTGAGAAACTTAGAAACAGACTCCAGTCTCTCTCTGCCCTGTGCTGGGGACCTGCGTGACCCGTCTTCCAGGCACTTTGGGACAGAAGCCAGGCCTAAAAGTCCCCAGAGACGGGGCAGATCTCTGCTGGAGTATGGCTTGAAATATCTGGGCCGTTGAGGAGATTTGGACATTCTTTACTTGCAGTGGAACATGAGGGTAATTTGTTAAATATATATGGAAAATGTCTGTGGATGGGGTGACAGAGACAGGAAGTGAGCTGAAGGTGCTGCTGGTTTCTGACCGGAGAGGCTGCTGATCTGGTGGGGGAGGGAAGGCAAGAAGGATCCAGTGATGGTGGACTTGATCAGTGATAGATGGGCTTCGGACTGTCAGTTGAGGGGAGGGTTCCTCAGGCCGTTAGTGTCTGCAGGGCTTCCTGGGGCAGGAAGTGTTGGTGAGGCTGCAGCCTGGTGATCGGGGCAGTGGGCGATGCGATCGGTGTGGGCAGCTTGTGGGCAGCTTGCTGGGCAGCTATCTGCGCGGGAGTTTGGACTTTGTCCTGCGCTGGTGGAGAGGACAGAGGGTTGTAAGCAGCTCGTTGAGTCGATGCCTGGTCCTGTGCCTTGTGCCAGGGTTCTCACAGACACTCCATTGAAATCTCACAATCCCCCTGCAGAGGAGCGGCTGCTGCTGGTAACCCCCACCCCTGCCCCGTTTTCAGACGGGGCGCTGGAGGCTCCGAGGGATCGAGTCACTTACAGAGCTATATTTGAACGCAGGCCTGAACTGTTTCTGCCCAGGTCATTTGGCCAAAAATGATGGCAAGACTGGCTGGGTTGCGAGCAGCCCAGGGATGACGCTGATCCTGGTCCAGCAGCGAGCCGACCCAAGTCTGACTCAGGCTGTGGGCCTGAGAGGGAAGGAGGAGGGAGCTGCCGGACTTGGCAGCTGCCCTGGGGACTGGAGCTATCGCAGGTGGTCTAAGGTTTGGGCAAGGACGCCTAAGTGACAGTGTCACTGCTTTCAAGCCCCTGCAGGGCTCTCTACAGGCAGAGGGCATAGTCTTGTCCTATGTGGCTCCTGTGGGCACTGACGGCACCAAGGTGACAGGGGAGCTAACAGGAGTAAACTCCTCAGCCAGGAGGCGAGGTCCCTGTCGCTGAAGGTATGCAAAGGGGCTGGAGAGTTGGAGAGGGTACAGGAAGCGTGTACAAGGAGGGTCAGGCCTGGGTGACCTCTTTCAGTTCCCATTTTAGCGTAGAATCTCAGCGTTGAGGGTGGTGGTTGGCCCACGTCCATCCTGTCTTTCTCATAGCTTTTCAGAACTGCCCCTCTCGCACCTCTCGGGAAGTTCCCCCACAGATGCTGGGCCCGCAGTGCTCCACCCGGGAGAGTCCTTGCCCATGGACTCTCCGTGGAACAGAGGCAGCCCAGCTGACCTACTAGGGGCCTCTCGGGACTTGTGGTCAGCTTCCAGAGCCTGTCTGCCAGAGCCTGTGTGCCAGAGCCTGTGCTGCCAGAGACTGTGGTTTCACAGAGGACTGGAACCTTTTTCTTCCATTCCCCAATCTGTGAAATGGGTTCCATTTCTCTTCCCTCAAATATGAGGAAGAGGCTGAATCATGACTCAGGCTGAATGGGTAGGGGCTGGAGGAAAGGCCTGGTGGATTTGAAGGTAAGGAGTGGGAGGGGTGGGGTGCGGGGCAGGGTTACTCTGCTCTTTCCTTGAATGGAGGTTTAAGGAGGCTTGGAGCTTGGTGCAAGGGGCGGACATGGATGTTGTGGCCCACGTGGCCTCAGGGCTAGAGCCAGTCTGTCACCCAAGGAATCACACCGGGAATGAAGCTCTTTTCCAGATGGAGGAGAGTTTGTGTTAAAGGGCTTTCTGGCTGCTTTCATTCCTATCGTTTTGCTTTTTGATACAGATTGGAGTTACCAGATTTTAAAATGTGTATCATGAATGAACACTTACTTATGGGAAGGCAAGGTCTGGGAGGTCAGCCACATGACTGCAACTCTCGG